TCGCGTTAGTTGATGCCGCCGGATTGTTAATTTGCCGTTAGTTGTTGTGTTAGATCGTCCGCCGCCTCTTCCTCTCAGCACCCTCGGTCGCCGAGGTTGCTCCAGGCAGGGCGATATGCGACGAGTCGCGGCCCAACTCCTGGAGGCGCTCGGCGACGTCCATTCTTGCGGCCATCGTCCTTTTGGGTGCTGCGACACACCTCTCGGCGCGGTGTGCCTCCATGTGTATTGTTAGTTGCCTCGCCGAGAGGCCTTCGGGCACGATGACAGTGTGCCCGCACCACGTACAGTGAGCTGAAATTCAATATTCATTAGTACTTAGTGGTGGTGTGCCGTTGAATTCATCAAATGAAATGAATTCATTACTCTGACGATCTGAGACGATTTCGCATTCACAAGAATTCATTCCAACATTCTCTCAGTCAATGTGGTGATTATCAAAGTGTTTAAACGCTTGTTCTTCATCATATTATTATCAGTAATCATCATAAATTAGAATAGTAAACGCCCTGAACAACTTGAAATACGAAAATGAACGCAATCTCAGCAAATGAAGAATAATTTTGAAAATATAAAAAATGTTCGAAAACGTACTGTTAGTATTGTGACATTTGGCCCGGCGGACGTGAATTTTCCAGGCGGCCACGGTGGCGAAGGGTGTGGCACGCCTGGCGCAGCCCGGCAGCTGGCAGACTGNATTATGTACAACTAAGTCATATTGAACAAACAACATTGCAAACATTCAACATCACCTGATCTAATTAACAAGTAAGCAATAAATGAAATACTTACAGACTTTGTTGTTAGTAACTCTGTATGGCGCCGGGATCGTATTGGCCAGCTCGGCTGCGTGACGGGTTGTTAGTGATGTTATGTTAGCCGCTTCGAATTCGGGGTTAATACGCAGTGTTAGCGGCGTCGCCTCTCGGCGCGGGTGACGGCTGAAATCAAGCGAACAAATTATGAACAACTCATCTCTTTCTGTAATTCTTTCAATTTATATTTTCAAAAGTTTCAACGTAATCATTAATGACCATTCGATTCATTTCCTTTCTGAACTGAAAGTTAATGAAAACAAATGAAAACTTACAAGTTATAGCGGCATCCAGTCGGCGAGTTAGTCGGTGAGTTGGGTGAGGTTGGTGGTGAGGATGGTGAGGAGGTTGATGCCGCTGGTGAGTCGATTAGTTGAAGTGAGTCGTCATCGTTAATGTTATAGTTGTGGTTGCCGGGCGATGTTAGGACGATGTTAGGGAGGGGGAAGTCTGGCCGGCTTGAAGGCCCGGGCAGATCTTCCTCCTCTTCGGTTATTGTTGGTAGTGGGTTCTGAAAACGAGATCATTTAAGTATGAAATTCGACCAAAGATTTTATTTTTCCCCATTTCAAAATGAAGTATCGAATTGACTTCATTACATATCGCACTGAAATCCTTCCCATGCTCTCTATCTATCAATGGTCCTAACGCTATATATTAGACTATTTGACAACATTTCATATCGCACAGCTATTAGGTGAAATGGTTACTGAGATGATCGAATTGCTAACTGAGCAGATTGATCACTTTATGGCATCGTTTGTAGTCATACAAGAGATTTTGCTTCATTTGATTATCGGTAGTCAGCATTTTGAAGATTATCATAATTATATTATATGTGTCAAATTATCAAGATTGAATCAAAATATATAAGACTTAATTCACTTACAAATATCGTTTCCGATCGGCTTCTCTTTCTGCGGTTAGTTGGGATGGGTAAGTTTTTCCGGTGCACCTGAATGTGATAACGACGATTAACATTTGACATTTCAAAAACTATTATTAAATGATCTTATTACATCATCTTAAATGATAATCTTATTACATTCATTCAACGTTTTTAGGTCATAAATAATTTTTCAAAGCAATTTCGAATGCATACCGTTTTCGTTTTTGGGGCACTTTCCGCCGGCGCCGCCGCCGCCGTCGGCATGTCAAAGGCGGCGTATGTTCCTTGGTGTTCGGCGGCCTCCACTATTTTCTCGCCGGCCCGTCCGTACACTTTGACGGGTGCACCGGAGTTAAGCGGGTGAATAATTAGTAAGACGCTGTTAACTCGGCAAAAAGCGTCAATTAGTTTCTCGGGAATTACTCCCGTTAGTTTCATTTGGGCTGAAAAATGAACAATTCATTAACATACGTCCAAAGAGGCACCGAAACTTAACCTACGTTCGATATACCACTGTTAAAGTTTACGATATACTCCTAAAGTTTGAACTTTCAATCGTCGTTCATCTGAATTAGCTTATCTCTATGATGATATTCCTCTTTTTTTTCGTACTGTGTGTTTCGGTCGATTCGCTCTCAGCTAAGCGAATATTCATTGGCTTTTTGCAACTTCTGTACGGTACCCTTTTTACTGCCTATAGCGCAGTTATTACCTATTGAATTATCCATCTATTTAAGTATTTATTATCTATCTATTGAAGTATCGGTTTGCAGATGGTGAGGAAGCGATTCGTAATGGTTCAAGAACGATGTACAATTACATATCAATATTCAATAGATAAATGAAAAAAGTTTATTTCAATAATCAATTGAATTCAACTCACCGATTTGAGTTCTGTTAATTGGGCCCGCGTGTCTCGCCATTACGTGCCAAGCGGCCCAGCAATAATCCTCGAACCGGCATGTGGCCGGAATTATCTGCAGGACTGTAAGTACCTGCAACATGTTAGCACAGGGAATGCCCTCAACCCCCCGTGCCCGAAGAAGACCCTCGAAGGGGTCCAGTCGCGGATCCTCCTCCGCGCGCGCCCTTTTTACGCCTGGTCGGCTTTCCATGTTAATATTTTTTTATTAATTTTTTAAAATAAAAAACACACAATAATTACAATAAAACACACTCAAAACAAACACACACTCACAATAATCACACAATAAACTCACTCACACACAAAATAATCAAAAACAAATGCACACAAATAAAATAATAAAATAAAATAAAACTCACAATCACACACTCAACAAAAAAACAAAACACTCGCACACAAATCACACTCTCACAAAAAACCACACAAACCACACAAAGCCACCGGTCGTCGCCCTTTGTTATCGCTGCTCCGCTGGGACGGGGACGGCGATCTGAAATTGGACAAGCATGCTAAACGACAAATGCACAACTTTGAAATATGTGAATTTCATGAGCAATATTTTAAATTGATAAGTGAATGGATTCATAAAGGAATGCGAGATAAAATAGAATCAATGGAATCAAAAATGAAAACGAATAAAATGTGCTAATCGTAAGAGATTTGTTATGATTCAACGGGATAAACTAATGACATTGGAGATGACAATCAGCGAGCAAATAAGTCACGAAATGCATCCTTAGATATAGATTTTAGACTCTCTCAGATCATAAATCCAAATCTCACGGATGTCAGGGAATTTACAACGACACCGTACAGGTAATTTCGAGAACGATTGGTGTTGATGAATTTGAAAACATTGGGTAAATCACTTGTGAACTATGTAGGATCGGAGAGTTTGCCATAACAAAAATGTATTCAGTGAACGTTGGACAAAGATGAATCAAAGTAAGCAGAACCGCGATGGGATGATACGAAAGTCGTCATGAAAGTTCCATCGGTTTAAGGTGTTAGATAATTGAACTTCAGCAGTCAAAAGACCTGATTCCTCGTGAACGAGCGATAAGTTTCGGGAAAAAATCACAGAGAATTTCAATCCAAAGGATTAATGAACTTCCTCGATGTTCAAGCAAAAATATTTCTTCAAGTCTGCTGATATGACTGATGGAACGCTGTTCCACAAACTCATTTCATTGTATCCCGTATTTGATTAATGAATAAACTTCATAAGACGACAAAAGATATTTTTGCATGCGCTGATAATTTCAATGAAATTGCAGTCGTCTTTTGCAAAATATTATTCAAGTATAATTCCGGTGAAGCCCAAAACTTTGTCAGCGATTGCATATTGCATGGGAGAATTCTGGCAAAAAATTCTGATTTTCGTTATTGCGGTTTGAAGGAGTCCTCAAAATTTTGTGCTTATAATTCTGCAGCATGGTACAATGAAGTATTGCGATGTGAATGATCATGCTATTCGACAGATCGAAATTACCCGCGCGATATCGTTCAGTCACAGCAAACAAGTGACAATATTCAAAACACAGAATTGCTTGAAGACCAAAGGTGATAGAATAGCAATGAGACTCGAAGCAAAATTGAAAAGCAATTAAACAAATGAATAAATAAACGAAAAATTCGAAAGTAAAACATACATATGATGTTGATATTAACGAAGATAACGGTGGCGTGATCTTCGGGCGATATCCTGGAATCAACGTTAATATGAATTTTCGCACAGAATGAAATGATTAAATTACCCCATCTCAGAACGAATTCAGTAGGAGATGCTCATATACAAGAGGGCATGAATGCCACTGTAAAATTACGATCCACATTCTGTATTTGAGAACTGTTACTTGAGTTTCTCAATATTAGTGTTATTATCTCCAGTATTATTGCTACTGTAATATTTTAATAACATATCGAAAATTGCGGTCGATATTTTGGGGCCAAGAAAATTTCAATGAGATGAAAAATTAACGATGCAAATGAATTTCGCATCGGAAACAGAATTAATTTGAAACATACTTTTATTTTAATAAAAAAGCGCTCCAATCCGGATATTCACGGATTCAAAAACTTCCAATAAACGCTTTGGTAGAGTGGTTAGCCCTACGAAATCAATTAACACCAAGCTGAAATTCAATAGATTGTAGAACGCTGACGAAAGAGAATATCACGAATCATTTCAACGCGAACCAGGTTAATGAGCGAACAGCACATGTAGCCTTATGATGGATATAAGCGATCGAACGTGAAAATAAATAAATGAAGAGTCGTGAAAACTATGAGAGGCAATTTTGCTTAGTTTCGAAGCTGAGAAGACCATCCGTTCAGATCATGCGTTGATTTTCTCATCATAATCATCGCAGTATCTTCAATTTTATTGGGCATCGAAGCTTATGATGGAATTATTATAATTGGAATAAAATCATTGAAACGATTGTGGTATCGAAGATTACATTTCAACAAAACGCTTTGAAATGGTGACCCTTGATTCTGAGCTGTGCGATCAGCCGAAATGGCACTGCTTAAGAATTGTGGCTCATGGATAAGGAAATATCTGTGCTGATATTTGGATGATAAATTGATGTTTCT